AAGTTTTATTAACATAGAGCCAGAATTCTAACCCTGGCTGCTATCAGCACTCACTGATTTCACATGATGTTCCTAAGAAACATATAATACTGAAAGTGCTTTGACTTTGGGAAATAATGTCAAACTATAACTCTTTTGAGAAGCACAGAACTCTGAAAGCAGTAACGGGTAACGGAGTTTTGAGAAGTTTCATACTATCTGCATCAACCTGTCAACTGTACAGGCCCCGGCAGTTTCACCTTTAAGCAACTGAGACCAAATGCACAACTTCAGTCAGCCACTCACCCAGCTGGTAATATTAAGCTGAAGTTTGTAAGTGTTTGATAAGTTTTCCTAAAAGAACACATAAACATTTTCTTCCTACAAAGGAATAAAGAATAGCTATCAAGTAACTGTGAGCAGCACAAAATACTGCATCACGTTTCCTAAACCATCAGTTCTACACCACTTCACCCTTCGTCAATAGGCACTTTCTTGTGTTGTGGTATGAACTAAAAATAAAAACACTTGATGTTTTTGATACAAGCTAAGCAGCTCCAGGTGGATTAGTTTGCCTTTTTGCATTAAACAAAAAGACCGCACTTAGCCTGGAACAGGAAGCTAAAGACTAAAAGACAAATAACACTCCTGTAATAGATGCATAATATTCATCAATTTGCTCCACTCTCTAACTTGCTGCACTTAATAATAGTCTGTCTCAGAAAATGAACTGTTTTAATATACTTTTTAGTACTCTGCATGTCTTCCTAGATTTAATGTTTTCTTAAGAGTTCAGATAATAAAGTTTTTATACAAATTAACTGACCAAATTCCTTAATTTGATGCAACTATAATTTTGAATTCATTAATTTCACAAAGAAAGATTTTGAAAAATGAAAACTTCATATCAACTTACCTCTGGCCAATTTGGCATTTTAGAAATAACAAAATTTAGATCTTCTATGGCTGCTTTATACTCTCGGAGGCCAGCATATGACTCAGCTCTGTAAATTCTTAACATCAAGTCACCAGAATCTGTAGAAAGAAGTAAGTAGCATTTTTAATAATTCAGAAGTCTGTATTTTTAATTACATATGCTTTTATAACTATATAAATCATAACCATGAATACAGTTCTCTGTGCCATATTCTCAATACAACTGCCATATAATTTGCTCCTTCTACCCCCTTTAAACATTTGAATGAAAAGAAGTAATTCTAAACTCATGTCTTTAGCTCGAAAGATCAGCTATCAAATCCTCTAGTGTTTCTGAGGGCAACAAGAAAATACATTAAATATATATATGTATTTATGTGAGACTGGCAGACTAAACTACAGTTCCATACTTCCATGACAGGAATTGACTGAATAGATTCTGGTTTTACAGCACATCTGCTAAAGCCACATAAACCCGGGAACTCATCTCACTTGTAAAGTCTGAATTCTAAAAAGTTTGCTTTTAAACTTTGGATTTTGTTTAGGCTAGCATTTGATTTTCTAATGCTCAACCCCTTCCAGATACAGTGTTGGTATTTTTACAGTGATGTCATCTGATAAGGATCAGAAATCACTATCACTGTGTTGTCTGACAAAGAGAAGCAACACCAGAAGGCCACTAGCAGCAGCTGGCAGCCCTGCTGCAGGGACTTCAACTAGCAGAACTTCTGCCCTGGGAAACCATTAGCGCGTGTCCCGAGTACAGCATTTTGCACTTGCAATAAAGCAACTGCACTGCAAATGTAGCTACCTACATGCCATTAAAATAATGTTTTTTTTTAAAAAAAAAAAAAACAAATACACCTAATAGTTTTTACTTGGAAAAGTCAGTAGATACTTCCCTCATTTTTTAGTACATCTGTGCCTTCCACTGAAAGGATCGTAAGAGATAACAAGTTGAACATAGAACTGATGTAAACAGCTACTCAAATTAAACAGTTAAGTTTGTTTTGGCAAGACTTTGCAGAGGATAAAAATAATTTAAATATTTCAGTGACTTAGACTATTCTAAGCATCTAGTCTACCTTTCAAAATTCCCACCATTAACTTGATTTATACGTAAAGAAAGCCAGACTGGTCACTATCACCACATATTCCCCAGTACTTTTTTGGATTTAGATCCACAATGTAAAAGATCTTAGTGGAGAAGAAATGGTTAAGAAAATCAAAACTGACAATGTTTCATTAACTGAAGCTACTCAAGAATTGTTCTGATGTTTTGAGCTGACAACTTTCTTTCGAGTACAAACATTGTCAAACTGATTTTTTTTCTTCTATGTTAGATATAAGAAAATACATACTAGCAGAAATTTGGGAAACCATCTGTCTAATTTAAAATAAACATGCAGTTCTGCAACTAGAAGATCTCTGAAGACTGCTCCCTATTTTGTGACTATTACTGCCTCAGAGGACAGAAGCTCTGCTCATGCTCTTCAGACAGTGGTTTTCTCTATCTGACTGTTTGGTGTTCACAGAAAGCCCTTTCTCCAGAGGTTACATCAATGTGGGACTTCATCCTCTAACAAGCTACTCATTTGCACATAATCAGGGGAAGTTCATCTTTTTCCAGACCTCTGCTACATGTCAGACAAGACCAGGGACTCCCGAGCCTTGTTTCCTGCAGGGAAGGCAAGGGGCAGTTTGAAGACAACAGTATCAGTTCAAATCAAGAGCGGGCAGACAGTTTGTCCCTTTGTTTTTCAAAGAATGAAGCATGGATCCAATGCAACTGGTGCAAAATGAAGGGCCACATGAAATAATTTAATTAGGACCCCAACCCTGTTGCTGCAAACAAACATTGCCAATGAATAATCAATGCATATAAACTGGGTCTAAACATTTGTAAGACCAACACCTAAATTTACCTGCCCACTTCTGCAAGAAAAATTTAATTTGTAAGCTTCATACTTTTGAAAACACAGTCTCTCCATGTCAGAATACCTCCATCCTTGGAGATTTTCAGGACTCAGCTGGACAAAGCTTTAAGCAAACTACAGTGTCGACTCTTTCTTGAGCAGGGGCTTGGACTGGAGACCCCTATGTTCACTCCCAAGCCCATTTCCTCAATAGTATTAGCTGTGTCTTTCAGGGTACTTGACTAAAGGCAGGCTATATTTGGATTTAAATTCAACAGAGTGCCTTTAAACTATTGCATTTCATCCCCACAAATAATATTTTAATCAATGTAACTTCTCAATACGTAACTTCAAAAAAAAAAAAAAAAAGTATTTCCCTATGGAATATAAAGCCATTAGCCAGTATTGCTAAGCCCATAAAAAGGATAGTTGCTTTAACAAATTAAGCAGTGTCCTGATCAGTATTGTATCAGTTCTCTTATTCCTTCAAAAACAATCTTGAACCAAGGAACAGATTCCATATAAGCCTTTGACCAGGAAGGGGTTCATCACTTTGCATCCTGAAAACCACTGAACTTTGACTCCATCTCCATGTGACCTGTACGAGTCAATGCTGCAAGAGAAAAATAAGCTACTTCTTGCAGTTGCAAGGCTAAAAATAGTTCAGACACTTTCTCAGGTCCCATCTACCCTATGTACTGCAAGCATCCTGGCAACTGAAAAAAAAAACTGAGATTTGATCTCACCTATATTGAAAACAGTTTATTCAGGAACCAAATCTGACATATCCCCCGATCCCAAGAAGGGATGGGAAAGATTAGACTTTTGCCAGCTTTTGTTTTTCAATAGAGCTGGCAAAAAAAGGTTCAACGCGCAGTGTATCTGAACTTACAAAAACACCGATTCCTACGTGTGCGGGCAGCGCCGAGGCGGCCCCGCGCAACACGAGGCGCCGAGGAGCAGGGGCCGCCCGGGGCTCTGCCCGCAGCCCGGGCGCACCCGCCCCCAC